CCTGACCTGCGGGGCCAGGGTGTTGCTGGTGTGTCAGCTCCTGGAGCTCACTTCATCCAGCCGAAACCTGTGTGGGGACGGGCTCTCTGGCAGGCGTGTACCTGTGCTGGCCGTGGGCAGTGCTGCCCCCTCTCCTCCTTTCTTTCTCTGCAATTTCTGGTTTGTGCAAAGTGTGTCTTTCTAATTCACTCTCTTAAGGCACTGACCTGCGGGGCCAGGGTGTTGCTGGTGTGTCAGCTCCTGGAGCTCACTTCATCCAGCCGAAACCTGTGTGGGGACGGGCTCTCTGGCAGGCGTGTACCTGTGCTGGCCGTGGGCAGTGCTGCCCCCTCTCCTCCTTTCTTTCTCTGCAATTTCTGGTTTGTGCAAAGTGTGTCTTTCTAATTCACTCTCTTAAGGCAGCAATACCCAGTGTGCAGGTTTTGCTTTTTTAGGCAATAACCAAAGTCATCCCTACTCTGTCTTCTCATTTCAAACTGTCACAGCTTCAGCTGAAGACCGTACTGTTGCGAACAAAAGGTTCTCACTCTCTGCATTCTCTGGAATGAAATATACAGTATCAATACATGCAAAGCATAAAGGCCTGATTAGGTTCTCCAAATTCTGTAGGTGTGTTTTGTTGCCTGCAATTAACTGTGGGTGTAAACACAGCTGCAAAATTGAAGGCAGAATGTGGGCTTATTAAGAACCTTAAGGTTAAATGGCTAGGTAATAAATACTAATAGGAAAGCCTGGTATTGAAGAAACTTAATGTTTCAGTCTTGATTCTTTTGACACTGAGCCAATGACTTTGGACAAGATAGGCCAAATTTCTTCAACTTGGACACCTTAGTTCAGTCACCTAAATCATCAACAGCAGCCGTTAGGTGACATAGGCATTTTTTAGGGACAGGTACCCGAACGTTTCCTCTTAATCTCTCGATTTCTTGTTTTGTCATTTGTAAAAAGAGGTGTAGAAATATGTTCATATCTCTCAAGGCAGTTGAAAGGGGAAGAAAAAGCCCGATCTGTGCTGACCTCCATGCCAGCGATGCCATCCTTCCGTGGCGTTTTCCCTTGGACTCACAGGAGGGCCAATGAGGTCAGGGAAAGCCCAGAGCAGGGGCAGCCTCACTGCAAGAGCAGAGCTGGGACACTGATTAGAAATGACGGGCACAGTTTCTGTGGGCTGTGGAACAGTATATGTATCTCCACTGGGATAAATACCAATCTTGCAAAAGTCAAAACAATGTTAAATTTGCCAGTACATACACCCTGCTGGTGTAACGTGGTGTAACGTCGCTGCTTTCAGCAGAGCTACCTTGATCTGCTTAACGGGTGGGTTTTACCTTACCTTGCTTTGACTGCCCAAGCATTGGGTGTCTGTCCTGGGGTAGTTACAGCAGCTTCCATATATTCAAGGGAGAGGGGGAGATGCGTTAGCAGGGCAAGTCACCCCACCTACCACAAGCAGCTACCTTAGGATGAGCTGAACCATCTTCTGGAAGTGCCTGTCTTGTGCTTTTCACTCCATTTTTACATGGATGAAAGCTGGATTAGTTCAACTTTACTTCAGCTGCACTCTGACCTGCGCATTTAAAAGCCAAAAACCATGATCTGTATACACCTTTGCTTTATATAAATATGTGTGCATAAACATCAATATATAATCAATCTGTATATATACAGGATAAAACGATGGATTTTATGTATATATGTCTCTGCGTGTGTTTATGTGCGTACATATGTAAAAGTACTCAGACTCTGCTGCAGGTTCTGCATTATATTCCCATAGTGCTCATGCAGCATTAATGTATAACCAAACATTGTTCCACTGTGGACACAGAGGCTCAGTTTGTAAGAATCTCAAAACAGGAAAAATTAAGTGCTTGTTTTTAATTTATGCATTGATGTTTGAAATATGGGAACAGAATACTGTAGAGCTGTCATCTGATACCCATCTTGAAGTGGGTAAAATACGTCTTAAATGGGTATTTTAAGTCAATGTATGCCAGTGATTTTAAGGCCAATGTTAGGGACGTCTAACGTTTCCCCTTGCTCCCATCAGAGGACAAATAAAAAGAAAGGTATTTGTTAGTATAATCCCTTTTTCTTTCTCTTCCTTCCTCCCACTCCAGTTATCCAGAAGATAGTGTCTGTTAGGACTCACTGTGTGGGTTTCCTCAGGGCTGGGGCATGAAACGCCACCCTAATTTGGAGGGGAGAGCACAGTTTGGCCTGTGCATGGAAGCCCCTTAGGAAGTCGCCTTGTGGTGGCATCCACTTGGGAGGTGGAACAGAGTGGGGATCATGTGTTGATGGCATATGGAAAGAGAAGATTGGGGACTAAAGGAGAAATGGTAACAAAAATGAGGATTAAAGGAAACCCCAATCATTTTTTCCAGCAGTACTGTTTGCATAAATTGTTATTTGGGTGTAGTAGATCCTGTTATTATACAACCCAGCTGTGAGGAGCATCAGGAAGAATAATCTGCCATTGGGCAGAAATATTAACATTAGAGTTAGAAAAACTGTAGCAAGACTTGTCGTTTGTTCTGCAATAATATTACAATGCATAGAAAAAGTAACAGTATATTACTGTGGACTCCAGGTGGTGCCATATCTAACATGTATGCTATGTTGATTGCACGTTTCAAGATGTTCCCAGAAGTTAAAGAAAAAGGAATGGCAGCTATTCCCAGACTGGTTGCCTTCACATCAGAACATGTATGTGTTTCTGTTTTTTCCTATCTGTTACTTCTGCTTGTATGATTGTATGATGAAGAAAATAAGTGAATGGGAATTTGTAGCCAACTGTCTTCATTTCTGTTATTCCTTTACTGGGAATGAAAAAATGGGAAGAGGCTGACTTTTTGATACATACAGGGGTGAGCTGTGCTGAAAAACAGCTTTTTCTGTGGCTGAAACCCAGGGAGAGCAGAATCTAGAAGCTAGTGCCATTTTTTAGCTCTCACTTGTGTCTGTGTAAATGTCGATGTGAATGGGAATGGTAAGGATCACATCAAACTTAGCATCAGGTTCCCGCACCTTCTGCCTGGAGCGTCTTTTGTTTGGGTCTTTCTGAGGGTACAGAAAATTGTCGTGAATCAAAATGTTTCTAGCTGAAACCACTCCTGCTGTTATTTAATGGGAGGGTGATAACATACATGAAGACAGTGGTACGGAAATGCTGTGTGCGTGTACAGCAGAGCAGTGGCACAGTGGGGAGCTGGGCTTTGCTGTGGGTTTCTGTCTGTGAGCAAAGGCTTCAGCACACCGGGGTTCGTCACAGGCACCAACGGGATCTGGCAGTGCAAGAGGTGAGGGGAGGTGGGCACAGGAGAAATCAGTGGTCCTCGTGGGAGAAATGCAGTGTTTTGCTCTTTGAACAACCGTACAGAAGTCACATTTCTGTCTGTATTGTGGGGGGTTGGTTTGGGGTTATGGCCATTTCAACCTGCTTGCAGCTTATAGTGGAGAATACTTGTGTGGGAGGAAGGGGAAGAGGCAGGGTTGTACCCAGGAGGGGCTGTGAGCTCTCTTCGGGCTTCATGGTACCCTTCTAAATATCTGTCCAGCTGTGTGGGCTTGGCCAGAAAGGACTCCTTCATGGCTGGGGCTCAGCAAGATGCCATCCATGTTAAGTGACAGCATCCTCCTGGCTGCCTTTTTTGACTTATCAGAGAACCTGTTTCCGTTCTGTGCAAGTGTGAAGAGCAAAGTATCCTAAAAACCAAACAGAAAAGCCTGGGAGGAAATCCCGCTGAGGATGCCTTTGATGGCAATGGGATGAGATGCAATACACAGCTGCGGGCTCTGCGTTGCAAAATAATTGTCGTCAAAGCAGTCAGAGAGAAGGATATTTTACAAATGAGTAGCAACTCTCCAAAGTTGGTTGTACAGCTAGAAATGCATTACTCATATGGAAGCTACAGACCTAATAAGTCTTGCAAATAAGGTTCAGCATGATTATTTAAAATAACAAATCCTATTAATCATTAGAGAATTTCGTTGTATTCATAGTGATGGAATGTTAAACAATGAACCAAATTGTGCTATCAGTCTCAAAATAATGAAATGAGCTTTAATAATTTTGTGTTTTCATGCCAGGGAAGAAGCAGTTCCCTTAGCGAATTAAACATTCCAAAGTCAAATATACTAGTGAATCCATAGAATAGCATCTGAAATTTGTTACATTTTAAAAGTATCTTGAAATTGCAGTTTTGTCCCTTCCTCAATCAAGTTTTTTATAAAGTATGTAATGGCACATCTTCTAGGGAAGTTAAGAAACCACAATACATGAAGACAGGGCCCTTTAACCCTTAATTGCCCAGAGAATATGGGATCAGGGTTTAACCCTCAAAATAGCAGAGGCGGTTACAGGAATTGGAGAGGCCTAGAAGTACAATCCCTTTTTAGATATGAAATGTCATGCAGAACCTGAACAAACACTAAGATCTGAGAATGTCATTTGTCTCATTTAGCATGTCATGCTGATCTTCTACTTACTTTTAGACTCCTCAGTCTGATTCTGGTTTCTCTATGCCACACTTGGATGCTCTTGTAAGACTGGCCATGGAACAAACAGTCTGTTAATGAGATACCACCATTTCCCCATGCTCTGCACATGTGGCATGATAGTAAACAAAGCTTAAAGTCATTGTATGTGTTTAGAAACTTGGAGATTTTTGTCTTGAAATTTTCAGTCAGCATCAAAGATTCCAATATCAGCAATTCTCAGACAAGAATTTCAGCATCACAGACCAGACTCTATTTTAATTTCTACCAATCTAGAGCTTTAATTAATATAAATGAATGAAGTTACTCCACAATTGCCACCAGTATTACTGTAATCAGAATCTGGACTCAGTCTGATCCCATGATATGTTCAGCTGCCAATGGGGGAGAAGGGAAGGGAGGAGTAATTCCCAGCTCCTAAATAATTCCCCTCCTAATTTAGGAGTGCGTCATGTTCCTAAATTAGGAGCCTCACTCTGTGCACAGTGAGTGAAGAGAGGCACCTCTGGAGGGAAACTCGGAGCATCCAAATTAGGAACCTAAATATTCCTTAATTTATATGTTCTAAATCACCTTTGGGAGGGATTCACCTACTTCTGTGCATTGACCATACACACAGATCAGCCTCCTGATAGGCAACCTACATGAGGTGCCTAAAATAGATTGTGTGACTATTCTGACCGTGCAAGTTTCCAGTAAGTGGATCTTCCCCAAGCTGTTCAGTAGGACCATGACTTATCTCTCACTCTGCTTCTGTTTATTTCTGTTTCACCAGTGATGGTGAAGTACACTATGTCTGCTTAGGTCGATCTCCAGGTATAATTTCACTGAGATGCACTTGCACAGGACTTAATTCAACCCACTGTATTCACCAGTGCATCATCAGTGGTTCATCCATCTGCACTGGTGCAGGAGCAGTGATGTCCTTCAGGGCAGCTGTTCTGGACTGCACGTGATGCAAGAGACCTTGACTCAGAGAGGTAAAAGTGATGGATGCCAGTTGTAAAAAGCTATTTTAGTTTATCGTTTCAAACACAATGAAAAATCTAAGACGAAAGCTTCCTCCTGTGTCCCAGTGCATCAACTTCAGGCTGCTGAGTGTTCAGCTGAGCACATCCCTTTTTCAGTGTGGGGAAAGCAGCTGGAAGGGAGAGCTGCCTTCTCAGAATATTTTCATTGATCCATTTGTCTATAAGGCAAGTCCTATTGAATTTTAACCCATTACCTGTGTGATTTTGACCCGGCCAACTAGCACTGTCTTAGCACCCAGCAGTCGCTGGGAATAGCATGGAGCAGGGATCGCCCCTAGCAGGCCAAAGGACGAGGTCATTGTACTCAGAGGAGGAACAGGGTGCAGAGCGGAAAAGTTTAGCTGTAGAGGACTAGTTAGATTCAGATTACAATACAGTCCTTGGCCTTTTTATTTGATAGTATAAAAATAGCTGAAGAGAGTTGCAGCTTTTACATGGACCAAATGTTTAATTGGGGGCTATACAGACTGAATGCACAGTTCAGGGAATGAAAAAAGCTGAGTATAATCGGAAAGACACAGAGATTTCTTAATCTCTGCTATTCTCCAACCCAGCAAGACTCTGCTCATGTAGTCCACATCAGCTTTTCTAATTTCCCACCCCCTTTAGCAGCTGCTGCAAGGAGGAACGCCTTGTTAGGTGCTCACCAGGGAAATAGCAATACAACTGTCTTAGTTTTGGAAGAGGAACCACAGCGTAAGAACTGGCAGTTCACCCAGTTAAAGAGCCAGGGGAGCCCACAGAGGGTGTCTCTGCCTCTGGCATCCCCCCATCTGCACTGCTCTCGGGGGGAAGTGGCTCCTGCCCGAGGCTTCACTGGGAGTACGGCTCCATCAGCCGCTGACTCTGAAGGGAAGGTCTGTTGGCAGCCCAGGTATAAGGCGTCAGCATTGTAGGCAGCTGGACATACGCAGAGGGACTTGATTTTCTGGGGGGGCACTGGGGGTGTCTGTGAGAGGTGGCTTGTCTGCGGTGGTAGGGGAGCACCCTCACAGCCATCGCACACACAGCGTCCGTACATCAGTTGGATCGCAGGAGGCAGTTTGCAATAAATCACCACTTCAGCTTCTTGTATGCTGATTTCCCCTCGTGGACAAGCCCCATTGCTTGCAGGGAATACAGCAAATTACACCAATAGCTATGGGAGAAGAGTGGCTTTGGCAGAGTTTTTGTCTGAACAGTTTCTGAAACATAAAACAGAGGTTCTTGGCTCTGAGACAGAAGAAAATTAAAAAGTGACTTCTGTCTCAAAGCAGACAGCTCGACAGACCTCTATTTCACACAGCCTGTGGAAGATTTTGGGTTGGTTTCTGTGCAGAATGAAAAGCTGATCTCTAGTCCCTCCACTTCGTGGCACGTAGCATTGCCCTCTAGCCAGGCGACTCCAGAGGCAGTTTCCAGGACTGGCACCTGTGAGAAGCAGTCCAGGGGGTGACCTGTGTGGTGGCGCTTCCAGGGAAAGATTTGAGGAATCTGGAGATCATGTTTTCTATTTGGTGGCATAAATTATGAAACTGTAAATTATACTTCTAAGCATACAAAGTAGGGAGTGTTTTCATTTCAGCCTGTCGCAAAGGAGACATTTGTCATTTGTGTCTAATCCTTCATCTGGTCAATATGTCATGACTTTTACATTGCCACAGGATCCTCCTGAATTCAGTGCAATGTTTCTTATCCACAGATAATGCTGTAAAACTCTCCGCACTGGAAAAAAACAAGTTGTGAGTCTTGCTGGATAAGAAAATCAGTATGAAGTTATATATTTCAAAAATACAAAAGAAGGAGATATTAGTACGTTGTGCAGAAACATTAATATATTCATTTCTCCCCTGACATTAACATACAAGTTTAAAAATTGAATAGCAGTAGCTAAAGGAAACAACAGCAAACATATATATCATTACAGTGTATTTAAAAATGTGACGGGACACGGTATACTCTTTTTGTAGATAATTGAAGGAAAAGCTATAGCTTCAATGAGACATTAAAGATAGGATTCATGTCACTTAACTTTAATCAGCTAAAGTGTAAAATTTAATCTGAGTTAGTCTATGCACTTTTTATAGCCAATAAAAAGAGAGCGAGATCTGCAGAAGACAGCTCATCCTACTCTAAAATGGATGCCAAAGCCTCAGGGATGAGGTGCCTTCTGGAGGTATCTTTTCTTCCCCGCTATTGAGGGAGCCCAGACAGCAAGCCTAGACCAGACACACATTTTTAGATGATTAAAATTAAGAGAGAAGTAGCCCAGCCCACACATCCAGGGATCCGACATCATTTAAAGTCCAGGGGAGATGGAGAGGATGGCATATGTGCCTCCTTTGCTGGCGTGTGGCTGATGGGGTGAGGCTGGGGGTCCAGGTCTGCAGAGCACTGGGGTGCCAGCGACCAAACCGGCAGACCTTGGAGAGGTTTCGGCTGCTGGATGGCTCGGCTTGCTCGGCATTTGGGAACTCAGTCCTGATGAGCTCCCTCCGCAAAGCTTGTGCCACTCTGGATTTATGTGAAGAGGGAGAAACTGCAATCTGAAAAACCAGCCATGGCCTCTGGGCCTCACGGCATTAGGATGGTTCTTCCTGACAGCTTCAGCCATGCCAGATTAGGAGCAATTAATTTAGCAAGCTATAAAAATAGAAGCATCTGTATATTGAAGCACTGTTCATTTGAGATAACAATGCCATACTTTTCAGCATCATAACATTTTAAATTATTCTAATTTTTCCTTTTTGGAAAAGGCCTAGTCATTATTGCATCTGTAATAAATTTCCAATGTGTTTTTACTTTACAAAGCTTACTATGAAAAAATGGCTACATCAGGCAAACAAACTTATTCCTAACAGCATTTGAAATTTTAGACAAAGGGAAGATTCCCCTGGCTCAAGATTACCATTTTTTCTCTTCTCCTGACTAATAATATGCTTTTTTATCACTGATAATAACTAATACTTTATGCCTTCTCCTTCACCATTGAATTTTGACCACATTTCTTTTCAGAGACAAATTGATGTTCCTCTCTGTCGGGGATGTATTTGCAGTCTTCCATGCGCCCTTTTGCAGCGCAGCACCACACAAGGGGAGGGAGGGCGAAAGCCGCTGTGACAGCCCGCTCCCACCTGCCTGTCCTGTCTCTGGCAAGCAGGGGACACTGGTGAAACTCTGGTCCTGCCAGCTGCCCCTAGCCTGGTTTTTCCTTCAGGACTGGCATCAGGCAGGCTGCCCTGTCCTCCCCTTTTGACCCTGGTTCTCCCACCCTAAGACTTCAAATCTGTGCAACTCCTGCATCGCTGTGTCATGAAAGATGGTGTTCAAGCTCATTTCCTGGCGTGGCCAAACAGTCTGTAGCCACCGTATTCCCAAAGGGGTCACAATTAATGTCGTTCTTCCCCATTAACCCAGCTGAATCTGTCGGTAGTTCTGTCTAACCAGGCTTATTTCTGCAAACCTTTCCTTCTCTTTGACTTTTATGTTTTTCTATGTCTACCTTTATCTTACACAGGCAACCAAATTTTCAGCACCATCCCGGGAATATTAAAACAAAGTTTAATATTCGTCGTAATTAGGAAAGTTTTCTTGCTCTTAAAACTATATTTTTTTCCATTTTCACTTTCATTCTGGCTTTTTTAGAGCCTCTCAGGCAGTTGGAGTAATTCCTCTGGTACTGCCCTGAGACGCAAAAACATAACAGCAGTCATAGATCTGTGACTGTATACACAGATTGAAAATTTTCATAGAGTTTGTTTAGAAATTGTAATTGCATTTGCCCTTCTGTGCACAGACTTCTGTATTTCTTCCCAATTTATCCCTAAACCTGTTTTGGTTCCTGACCACTGAATTCTCTTCAGTCTGTAAAAAGCCTTCGGGCAACCGAGCTATCAGCGCTACATTCATTTTTTCCCCAATACTGTTTCAGCAGTGCCATGAGACTTCTCAATGAGACAGCTGAGCTTGGCCGTTTTCCAGTGGATGCCTTTGAGCACATGGGCTTAATTTTCTTCCTCATAGTAAACCATTCAAATCTGTGTTTTCTTTTTTAAGGCATTTTGAATAGTTCTATTTTCTATTAGAAAAACAAATTACAGTAGTAAATCTATTTTAACTAGTATGGAATAAGGAGCAGAATTCATCAATGCAATGTCATTGCTCAAAAACCAGTGAAATACATCTGTGACTTTTCACTCCTACATCTCTACCTGTATTTATATATTATACTACCCAGTATGTGCACACCAGTTTGTGTAAACATGAATAAAAAAAGAGATTGTATTTTTTTTAAGTATATAAATTTAATTCTAGCTTCACATAGCGTATCAATGGACTGTCATTATGCTGGCAATATCCTAGCTATGCATCAATTTTTGCAAAGTTCAAAGATATCTTCCTAAACTCGGGAATTTTTTATAAGCCTCCTGATGCCCGTAGCCTCCTCGTGGCCTCTCCTCCTCCCTGCTCTCATCAAGTTGCACTGCTGCGCCATGGGGCTCAGGGAGACCCCCAAGGCTGCGAAGACACTTCAGTATCTTCCATGTGTAGAGGTTTGTGGATTGGTCACAGTCCAAGCCTTAATCTGCTGTGCATTTGTACTTGGGAAAAGTCCACTGACTTTAGTGAAGCTGATGAAGCTTGTGGAAATGCATTCGTTCAAAAATTCAGTTTCATGAAATGAAGAATGTGGCATGAAAAATGCCAGTGTGATGGCTGACCAGGCCTGTGATGTTCAATGTATAAATGTTTCCTAGCACTGTTGACTCCAACTAGAAAAACAGCAGGGTAAGCTCCATATCTAATCTGAGCATACCACTCACCTGTGGTTTCAATAGATTAGACAATAACAGCATGTTAAAATCAAATGTCTGCCAGTTTCCAGAGTGCTGGTGCCTGCAGGTGACGTATACTTCCCACTCTCACAGACAGCAGGTATCACAGGGCTTTGTGGAAGGGGTAGAAATCTCCTCACCTGATGTCATTCCGTGCCCACTCCAAACCAGCAACCCTCGTGCTGGATGAATCCTTCCCTGGAGGTGCCTCTCCCCCCCAGACTGCAAAAGGAACCTACTTGACGACTTAAACCTGATTAGGCTAGCTGCAATGAACCTGGTCTATTCAGCAAAACACTTAAGCACAGGCATGAGTCCCTTGCTGCTCATCTAAGCGCACGGGTATGCATTTCATTTGATCATCAGCTTGTGCGAAAGTCGGTCCGATGCACATATACTTCCATTTCAGAATGTGCTTAGTTCAGGGGCTGGGATGGTTTGCTGTTCCACGGCCTTGAAAGCTGATTTTAGGTCTAGGCAACGTGGTCAGTGGCTGCTCAGGATATATTGTTGGTATACTGCAGCCATGCCCCACAGGGGAGAGCTATACCAACCCGCTGCATTAAAAAAAAGTTAACATAGCATGAAAAATATCATTTACTTGAAGAAGTATTTTCAAATTGTCCATGTATCATCAGTGAATAATGGCTTAAGAGAGCAATCTGACTTCTTCAGAATGTCTGAACATTGAAAAACTCTGTGGGCATCATGAAAACACGAGGCATTTCAGCCAAAATAATGAGATACAAGCATATGAAAAAAGAGTTTGGAGTGAGTGGAAACTTACGCAACCTTAACCACAGCAGCCAGGATTGTTAATAATTATCCCCCAAGTGATTTTTAAAACACGAGGGTTTTTTTACTTACTAAGTTGAAGGTATGCGTTGACGTTCTATTCTTCTTCTCCCTTTCATAAAGTTGATTTAGAATTGATTTTAATTTCTCAAAGCGTTCATTATGAAGGGAGCCCTTAAGTATGCAGTGAAATCCCATGGACTTCACAGCCTTTAAGTGAAGCAGACGTGTGGAACTGTTGTGTCCATCTCTTCCCCATCAGCTCTCTGCTACTTGCATTACAGTTGAAGTCAAATATTCCCTTGACAAAGCAATAGTGATTAAGTCTCTGCTTTGTGGTCTACTCCTCTACTCCTGCAATCTGTGTATCTTTCTCTTTCTTTAACATCCCAGACACCTGAAAAACCCTGTTAGATTTTTATCTCCTTGATCTTTTTTATAGTGTTACATGCTGAACTAGTGTACTGTAGTATACACAAAGAATTTCCATTTTTTTAAAGTTTAATAATCTGTAGTTAAAATTACTTTGGATAATATTGTTACAGCTGGGTTTGAATTAATGCAAAATCAGATTCTTGGTGATACAGTTTGATACAAAATTATTTCATTATCATAATCACTAGGATTTAAATTAGAATTATAAACCAACACTGGATCAGGAGTTAAGTCCTATGAGCTAGAGAAATTAGGCTGACTTGCACTCCAGTATATAACTTCCACATTTTATTCTGTACGTACAGATTAGCTAATAGTCTTATTAATAGACCAGTTCTGATTTTAAACTGCAGTAGCTCTATTTATTAATGGGAGTTATTACTAACTTTCACTGGCATGAGATCACAATTAGGCTTCCTATCTTAATTTCTCTCAGTGTGTTATTTGGCCAGAAGTTACACAGCAGAAGCACATCACTCTGGATGCCACAAACTAAATGAATTCTCTAGGGGAAAGTTTTTTGTTTCAGTAAATCAAGTCCATAGCTGAATCTGTACAAGCAATAGAAGCTGCAGGTATGCATCAAGGACAGAATTTGGGTCCATCATCAGCCACAGTTGTGTATTTAATATTCCAGGAGTAAATCCAGATTAGAGTGATTGCTGTTTCTCTGGTTGACAGAAGTGACCTGATACGGAAGCCTCAAATTACAGTGATCAGTTTCCAAAAAGTCTATGATTAGAATTACTGCTGGTGTGGGACTACTTACTGCAGGGCTTGCAAGAGTGCAGTGTTTTATATTAAATCGGATAAGAAACAATAAAAATCATAAATAATAATAAATCTATTTTTTTCAGAGTCACTTTTCTGTGAAGAAAGGAGCTGCAGCCTTGGGTATTGGTACAGATAGTGTGATTCTGATTAGATGTGATGAAAGGTAAGTGAAGATGCCAAATACAGCTCTTTTTATCAGTGCATAGAAGAGGATCATCAGGTACTTGGCTCAGAGAGAGCGTATAGGATGCAGTCAACAGTTGGTATAATTGATCGTAGCGCTATCATCTTCAGCAACCTTACACTGATTTATCCCACTTGAGGAGCTGGCTCTGTCAGTAGCTTCTTTACTAGTCAGTTTTTGGAGCTCATCAAAAATCTTAATGTTCCCTTCCTCAGGGATTTCTGATAATTCTTTTTCTTTCATCCTCAAGTGAAACAAAGTATTGAAGTAACAATCATTTTAAACATGTTCTGCTAAGAAATAAGGGAAAAGCTTGTTTTGGTCAAAACGGAGCATTTAGATACTCTCACGTTTTGATCCATTAAAATGAGCTGAAGTGAGCCATTTAAAGGAATAAAATATCAAGGTGCATTTACTAATCTAATTCTGTTACTTCATGGCCCCACCATGCTTCTCATCTGGACTACCTTCCCACAGTGCCTTTGATGGGGACGCCCTTGCCATGGGATGTGCAGCACTGTAAGGCAGCGTAGGCCAAGGAGGGAGGTGGCCCATGGCAAGGAGGAGCACAGCAGGCACCTAACCTACAGGTCCCATGGGCACTACAGAACCGGTTTTGAGAAAACAAAACAAAATCAACATGTTCTGATGAAGATTTTAAATTTTAGGGGGAAAAAATTAATAGAACAGTCCTTATTGGTTCTACTGAGAATCTTTTCAATAGAAAATGCTCTTATTATGAGTCCCAAATCAGATTGTTATAAGGTAGTGAATTATTTATGGCTGTAGCATAAATGGAAGATTTGACTGCTATCAAAATATCCTGTTCCCACATTAAAAGAAGAGCACCAACTAAGCAATTCACAGTGCTAATCACAGCACCTGCATATTGGCTTACGGACTTACTATCTCTTTATTAACAAAAGACTGAGCACTCCTTGAAGAGGAATTAATGACAACATCAACACAACCAACACACATCAAAATAAACCTCCAATTCACTATTTCTATTCCCTAAAGACAGACCCGGATCAATGAAGTCGTGTCTTCCTTTTCTTCTTGCGCAAATTCATCGTGATGATTTCCTGTGAAGACCACAATGCTTACTTGCCCCCCCTGAAGTAAACAGCAGGATCACTGCATGTCTCACCAAATCCCAGCAGATACCACCAGGACAAAGCGGGCTGTTTGCACAGCATGTGGGCTGGTGTGGTGGAGAGGACCCTCTGTGAAGATATGGACTTGTGGGAGGGTGAGGGACCACCACAAGATCTTTTTGAGGTTTCCAACATGACCAAGCACACTTCTTAAGCTCCTCTCTTCCCCATCCTGACCCACACCCACCAAATTTGCTGGTTTTGCTGTATCGTAGGACTGTGTAAGTGTGTGGTGAATTTCAAGCCAGGAAAACACACAGAAAGTCGTGTTCTTGCTCATGCCCAAGACTGGATGACCAGACATTTCTGTTGCCTTTTTTACTACCACACAGACATATTGGTACCAATAGTGTATTACCTGCAGGTTTGGGGTTGTAACACTTCAGTCTGGTGTGGCAGCAGTGAAGACTCTGTACAGATGTGGGTAATACGAGGAGACTTTGACACTAACACTCATTCTGTCCTCAGTGTCCTTTTGCTGCCGAGTCTCTTCTGCCTCCCCCAGTAGCCCTCCTGCCTCTGGTGCTGCCTAGCACATCTCATGTAACCCCCTGCCACATTACCTGGGCGAGTTTTGTCTCAGGACAAGGCTATTGTTTTGCAATGCACTTGAAGTGTTGCAGGTCGTCTGAGGTGGTAACACATGAAAATGCCATGCAAGTAAGCAATGCTGGTGGCTAGTTTGCTAGATTTGGAGGTGGGGGTTGTGTGCTCCAGTGTGTTTTTGGACTATACTCAAAGCCAACGTACTGCTTGCTCCCTGGTAAAGCTTGGCAGTGCTTGGATGTTGCACTCTCCTGGCCATGAATTCCTACACATACTCAACGTGGTGAGGGGCTGGATAATCACTTGTCTTGGTACAAAAATGTTGGCAATGAAGGGGTCTGCCCAGCTTTGTGTGTGTTCCTATGCACAAGCTCAATAAATTAGAAACCATTAAAGACCAACATCTAAACTGTTTGGAAGAAGAATTCATTGTCTTCCTTTGGCATTTTTTTTTCTTTATTCCTCTAATGATCCCCGAAACAGTTTTTGAAGAAAAGACAGCTACTGCTTTTCTCTGAACATGTACATGTAACTGGGGGAACTCACGATAAGTTGAATACTCTTTAGACCTTGAACTTCTATAAGAAAAATCAGGGCTAATGTTTTGACTTGTAGAGCTTTTTATTTTCAGTTTTTCTTGTAGTATTTTGAACAAGTAAAATGCAGGACATATTTTGCAAAAACCTCAGCAGTACAAAGTCTTTTTTTCTACTGGAATAATTACTGTCTTATTGTGAGCTGTATAAGGATGAAAACTTACAAAATCTAGCAGTATCTTACAAAATTATTACAATAAATTAGTAATTATTTATTTACATCCATCCCAATGTCATGAAAACACTTCAGATTTTTTTATGCAAAATCAAAACTAAAACTTATGGGTTTATTTGTTTCCCTGAAACTACTATTTTGAGCTTTAGTAAAAGTTGTTCTTTTTTTATAGCAATTTTATAGGAAATCAGTGCATAGTGAAAGAAAAAATGTGTCCAACTTTACTGAGAACTGAAGAAGTCTTTAAAAATAACACTAATCTAAATGGCCAACATTCAAAGCCAGTGAAGACTTTATTCCTCTAATGTGGGGAGCTGTTGTGTTTGTACTGCTGGTATGTGTACTGTCTCTTCTTAGATAGTCTTGCTTGTGGCTAAAGCAAAGAAAACCTTAACCTCAGTATTCAGTATCAGCACTGTTTTATCTGTGCCTAATTAATTTACAGGCTTTCATAAATTAGCCTTCAAGCCTTATACCGCTGAGTCTGAATCTCAGGTAAATGGTTCATACTAAAGATGTTGCAAGTACAGTATACGGTCAGTACAAAGGGCCTGACAGTGCATTTAATGAGTCCAGACTGGTAGCTTCTTCTCATATCCTGCTTCAAGCAAATGTGGACATGTTATGCACCAAACTCTGGAATAGTCGCCCTGAAATGAGTTCATCCCTCGGATGGAAACACAGAGATGACTGCTTACACCAGAGCTGAGTCGTGCTGCTAAAGGCCATGCAGCTCAGGTGGCATTTTTTGTGCCTGCTGAATGGGGACCATGGGGTTTGAGCTTTGTGGGACCCAGGGCTGAGCCTCTCCCTGGGAGCCTGGAGCATATTCCCAAGGCTGTAAGGTCAGACAGGACCAGGAGGCTCTATGGAGCAGCATCAGTCTTTAATGAGAGTGGCTGCAAGATAACTTCTCTCAGTTACCATCACCATGTTGATGCAAACTGGTTGACAAAATAATTAGGGTAAAAACTCCGACTAATGGTCAGAGTCTTTCTGTGCTCTTCAGTGCTGCATAAGCCTTGGGCAAAAAAGTCACTTTGTTCCTTATTTGGGTTTCCTATTAAGTGAAGAAGTAACAGCAAGAGCTGACTTCAAGATCAGATTTCTAATACAACTTTCTCTTGCTCCAGAGGGAAAATGATCCCATCAGACCTTGAAAGAAGAATTCTTGAAGCCAAACAAAAAGTAAGTTTACTAGCTTTTCTGCTTCCAACAAAGAAAAAAAACCCAAACAACAAACTAAGAATGATACAGGTAGTTTTTTTGCTTTCCTTGGTAAAACAACATAGGCTTGCCCATTAACCTTTGATTTATTTCTCAGTAATGTAGCCTGGCAATTAGTGAGGCAAGAGTTGCCGAGAAGATAGGTTTAAAGCTACTTTATAATCTCCAGGAGCTATTTGGCTGCTTTTATCTGTTCCTCTGCATAACATTCTCCTTTTTTATATTATCAACCTATGATGCAGTTCCTCAGCTAAATATTGGCAAATGAGAGTAATCATTTGGGTGATTTGTATGTAATGTAACTTGTTGATAGTATTCCTCGTAGTCATTAAAACAATGGAAGATAAACTAAAATCTACATATCTCTAAAAGTGCACTACTTTTATATGTGTTCATTAATAGAAGCTAGAATTAAATCAACAAATTAAAGTATGCAATGAACTTAGCCCTATTCCTTCAACAATATTTATGTAAATAATCATTAGAAACACAGCATTCAAAACTCACTAATAACACAAATCTTCATTAAAAGCTTACTTTGTTAAAGAAAAGCAGTCTAGTAGATAAAAATGAAAGGCAACATGGCAATAGAGTACCGCCCAAACCTCCTGACCCTATATTTAACTTTGCAGAGGGAAGTTTAGACCTTTTTGATAGTTTAAACCCCAGCTCTGAAAAAAAAATGTAGCCGCTCTTTACCTTTGTTGCTCTGAAGACTGCTTATGAAATCAGCAGAACTATAAATGAGTTTAAAGTGAAACGCTGGTACAAATTATGGCGTGTGATGGATAGTGAGTGCTCCTGTGTGAGGAACAACATTGAGCAGAGGGAATCCAAGAGGTGGTCCCTGGCCTCTGTGGAGGTTGCTCTGTCCCCGCTCTGCACAAGGGATGGGGCTGGAGGTGAGCCCCAGACCTCCCCTGTGCATTGCCCCCAGGAGGCACCCCCAGACAAGGTGCTCCCACTGACAGGACTGGGCCATCACACCTTCAGACGCTCACTGGGATGATTATAACACAGCCCAGGGCACAGTTCACCAGAGATATTTCTTGCACTGTGGTGCCTGGGTGAGGTTTGTTTTACATGACGTCATGCAGAGCAGATCTTTTTGTTTCAGGCAGGTGTCGTGGAGCAGAATTGTTGTTCTGAGCACTTACCTGTCTCATGCATCCTAATAAATGGAGGATGCTCGTTTGGAGGTTTGCTGCCACCTTAAGGTAGAAATTATAATATCAGTAGCATCTAAACTAAGAAAAACCAGTGTAATGCAGCAGGTATGTCCTCCAGGAGACACTTGGGCTCACTGTGGAGTCAGCAGAAGAGGAGTCAGGCCTGCTGCAGGCTGAGGAGGCTGCAGCACTCCGACGTTGCCAAATGTCTCTGTGCTTTCTTGCAGGGATTTGTTCCTTTTCTGGTGAGTGCCACAGCTGGGACAACAGTGTACGGGGCATTTGATCCTCTCATAGCTATTGCAGACATCTGCAAGAAGTACAAAATCTGGATGCATGTGGATGTAAGTATCGTCTTCCGTGGGGGCTGGATCGCAAGGTGTATTAGCATTAGCTTAATCATTTTGTACAGCATCATCTTGTACAAAACAGTTGCTTTTGGTTCCTGTAATTAAGTCTTAACATCCAAGCGCTGACTTCCCATTCCTCTGAAAGGCTCAGGTCAGGGGAACATTTTAGGAGCTGTGACTGTGCAGTATTTCTAGCAACTGGGACACTTCAGATGACCTAGTTTGGGTGCTTTTGGCCTTCAGCTTTTTCTCTAAATACCATTAGCAGAAGAAATACATAAGAACCATGTTGAGCACTGGCTCAGCTTCTGCAGCAGCTGCAAAATAAATGCATAAGGAAAAGGATACATTTGTCTGGAGTAAAGTACCCCAAATTGCTGAACAGATTAATGCAAATGCTAGAGAAATTTATCAGATTGGCTACTTAACTTTATCTGGGTTCTTGCCAGTAAATCTTTCTGAAGTATCCTCTTTCAGCCCTAGAATGGCTTTTGTGTCATTTTTGCAAATCCTTTCTCCAAAAAGGCTTGGTAATTGAATTTCCGTAGGGCTGGGGTATCTTGCTTGTGGATTACTGTGTCAGCCAAAATCAGTCCGATTCAAAGGAAGAATGCGTATGTACCTTAAACTACTTCTCAGTCACATGAAATGCCTGCTTGTCCCAGATCTCTGTGAGCGAAAGGAAATGAGCAGGGGGCAAGCAGTAGTGATCTGAAATATGATGAAAACTCACCAGAGCAGCTGAGATCCCAGTCTGGTTTGTTAGCATCACTGGGTCACTAAAAGAGAAAAGGCAGCGTACCCAGGAGCAGCGCTGCAAGTCATGAATTACAGTGTGGGACAGCCCAATGTGTCAGTGTCGGGTGGCGAGGGAGGGGTTAGCACACGATAAGGGTGGGCACTCGGATTACAGGCTATAAATCGCTGCTTCCAAGCAACTGGAAGAAAATTGTTAGTACAGCTAATGCCTCAGGCCCCATCTGCCTGGTCATTTTGGAATGTGCCACATCAGCAAGAAGAAAGAAAGGGCCCCAAACTGATGTGAACGCACAGATGTCATGGGGGAACGCAGAGTTCTCATTAAGATAATGTCTCTTGCCTTCTAGGGAGCATGGGGTGGCGGGCTCCTGATGTCAAGAAAACACAAATGGAAGTTAAATGGTGTTGAAAGGTATGATTTATTAATGTTAATTAAGCACATTTATTAAATGCATTTTAACACACTTGTGATTACCATAGCAATGTCTATAAATAAAAATAAAAATCAATGTTATCTCCAAGATAGAGTATGAAGAAGTTATGCAAGCTGTCCTTCCAGTTGAAACAGCATTGCTAAGTGCCTTTGTTCAATGCTACAGTAGTGTGGCACTTTGTTTTGTAGTACAAACAGCAAACATTTCTTGTTTGCATTTTCATTCCTTTCAGCATACATTTGCAGCTCGAGTGGTTTCTGCAACTTCCTCTGATACAGTGTCCAACATGAATTAGCAATTGTATTTCTCTAAGAAATGAATCATAGAATCATAGAATGGTTTGGGTTGGAAGGGACCTTAGAGATCATCTGGTTCCAACCCCCTTGCCATGGGCAGGGACACCCTCCACTAGACCAGGTTGCCCAAAGCTCCATCCAACCTGGCCTTCAACACTTCCATCAATGGGGCATCCACAGCTTCTCTGGGCAATCTGTTCCAGTGCCTCACCACCCTCACAGTGAAGAATTTCTTCCTCATATCTAATTTAAATCTACCGTCTTTTAGTTTAAAGCCATTACCCCTTGTCCTATCACTCCGTGCCCTTGTAAACAGTCCCTCTCCAGCTTTCCTGTAGGCCCTTTCAGGTACTGGAAGGCTGCTGTAAGGTGTCCCCGGAGCCTTCTCTTCTCCAGGCTGAACAACCCCAATTCTCTCAGCCTGTCTTCATAGGAGAGGTCCTCCAGCCCTCTGATCATCTTTGTGGCCCTCCTCTGGACTCTCTCCAACAGCTCCATATCCTACTTATGTTAGGGCCCCCAGAGCTGGACACAGTACTCCAGGTGGGGTCTCACAAGAGTGGAGTAGAGGGGCAGGATAACCTCCCTTGTCCTGCTGGTCATGCTTCTTTTGATGCAGCCCAGGATATGTTTGGCTTTCTGGGTGGCAAGTGCACGCTGCCGGCTCATGTTGAGCTTTTCATCCACCAACACCCCCAAGTCCTTCTCCTCAGGGCTGCTCTCAATCTTGGAGGTGTTACATGCTGAAGTCTTTAAGTATAAAAGGTGGATGCACCTGCAGTTTGGACAGGTGTCACGGCAGTCACTGACCACTGCTCTGACACTTTTGGAGAGAATGCCACCCCCCTCCAGGCTGTGTTAATGACATCTTCTCAGTAAATCTGTGCCTGGGTGTACAAGGTTGTAGTCATGAGCTCGTGAACATTGCACATACACACAGATGAACATAAGTGATGCCAGTCCAGTTCAGAGTCTGGAAAGACTGAGCTTAAACTTAGAAACAGCTGCTTGTTCAGAAGCTTTTAGTTTAGCTGTGGAACTCCCTGCCATAGGTCGTTAAGATTTACCTGCATTCAAGAGAAGACAAACAAAAACAATTTGGAACTTCTGTGAGCCACGAATGACTGGGGACTCCGAGGGTATTTGGAGGAAGATCATATATGCTTGCCCTGTTTTGTATTCTTCCCAGACACCTATTTAGGCCACTTGCTAGAGACAGTATACTGGCCTAGATGGAGTCACTCTCACATTTGTGTATTTTCCAAAGTTCATGCTGTTCGAGAGTAAATTATTACTTCCTTCCGCCTTTCTTATCTCTAAATCAAATTGCTGTTCCTTGCCAATTAAAATTACAAACAACTTCCTCATCCTGTTCCTGAAGATTAGGTTGATTCAGGTCCTTTCTCATCATCTCACATGAAAAATTTGGAGAGCAGCCAATGGTTCTATGAATTTGATATAGTTTAGTTAAGACTGCCTCCAGCACTTTGAACTTACATACTGTGCTTTAAAAGGATGTACATCCAAATACCCAGCATGTTGGAAAAATCAACCCAGTTGCCTGTGAGGACAGCGTATGAAAAAAAGAGTTTTCCTCCCAAATTGCTGTCCAAATTGTGCTGGAATGAGAAGTTCAGGTTGAATCTATATTGGAGAATTTTCCAAATAATATGCTTTAGATCCAAAACTCCACTGGATTTTTTCTAGTGCTTTGATAAGCACCATCTCCATATGTTTGGCAGTGAATTAATGAAATTTGTCATTTCCAGTGCTGTTCTGCTGCTTGATGGACACAGCAGCTCGTTACAGTTTGTCCAGATCTCAAACGTGGGCACCTTCAGAGCCGGCTTACTAGACCCAACTTTTATGAAGATTCCTGTTTCATGGTAGATACTTCAGTGTGGTGGGTTGACCCTGGCTGAGGGC